TTCCAAGCCATTCACAATCTGTGCTATTCAAATCTACAAATAACAACGTTTATCAATTTCATTCATTCATATTTTAGTTTTATTATTAAATTGAAATGAAAATTTGATGAACAACGAATATGATGATAATGAAATTTTTTTTGATGATTTGAATTTATTTGAAGAAAAAAAAAATAACTAAAATAAATGAATTCAATGTTTAATACAGAATACAGAATTGGAATATAAATAACGACGACAGACTTCATTAATGGGATATATCAACATAAAAATTTTGTTTTTGGTTTCTTTTTTTTCCGTTTCTTTTGATTGAAAATATTTCTACCAAGTAAATTATGTTCAATCAACTGCAAAAAAATGTATTGAGCAAATTGAAACGAATACGATTTGCAAAAATATGATTTGCAAAAAAAAAGATTTGTTCAAATCAACGCAAAATAAGCAGGGAAACATTATTCTTGAATATTTAGATTTTTTTTTCGTAAATTTTTCTTCTTTTTTTTCAATATTTTTCTGGATTCATTAAAATTCTAAACATTGAAACTCCAATTATTCTGTTTTATGATTTTTTCATTTTGATTTGAATTTTCATATTTTATTTTTGATTATAGACAACAAAATGACGAGAGCGAAAAGAAAAACTGTCGAAACTTTTTTCTTGAGTAGACTGATTTCTGGCATTCATAATTCAAGATTTCAAGCCTTGATAAAGATGAGATTTCGTTCCAAAAAAAAAACAAATTTCTATCCATCATTTTTTGTTTTGCCTTCTTCGGTACAGTTGATATTATTCAACATGCATGCATGCAAAAAAAACAAACCGCCAAGTCAACATTCTGCTTAGTGTTTTTGAGGAAAATTATTTTTATTACGATTATATTGTCTATTAACGATCCAAAGAGAAAAAAATGTAAGTTAGAAATATGTACCATAAAAAAAATTATTACTGCTAATAATAATTTCTCTTTTTTCTCTCTGTCACTGTTAGGATAATCAAAAAACAAACTTTTATATATATGATGGATAGAATGGATCATGTTTCGATGGATTTTTATTCTAGTTTGAGGTTTTTTTCTTTCCGGCCAACAAATCTATTGGAAGGGAAAATTGATTGAATGATTTTGGCTGGTTGGTTGGTTGAATGACAATAAAACATTGAATAATTTGATGTATCATCATCTTTTTTTTTGCCATCCATTCAATAATGATGATGATGATGATGATGAAAATTTTATCCGTTAACAAAGAAGATTTTTGAATTATTATTTTTTTCTTTTCTTTGATAAGATTTATAGAATTTAAATCAAAGATCATCAATCACATTCAACTTTGAACATCCGAATCGGATCTTTTTTCTTTTTTCTTTTGTTTTGTTTATTTTTTTTGTTTATTGGATAAAAATTTTTAATAGGCCTAAAAAATTCTGTCAAAAACGTTGATCTTGATTTTTTTGCCATTCTTTTAACTAAATTAAAAGATTTTAAGTTTTTTTTTCTTTACAGCTTTCAAATCGGATCAAATTCATATAAGATAACAGAGAAAAAATAAATGGAAAAGGGGAAATGATCAAAAAAAAAGCCAATGGGGTTGGGGAAAATTTCCAAAAACATAGTGAAGAAAAAAATCAGAAAATTTTCTGGAAAAGAGAAGACAAAATGAAGCTATAACTTACCTTTTCCGAAAAAGAAAAGAAAATAAGTAATATTCTTTCGGCGAAAACAAAAACAAAAAAAAAGATAAAGATAATGTTATTCTTGAACACGCAACATATATTTTATGAATAAACATTCATTCATTCATTCATTCATGAATAAACAAGAATTTTGTTTTTTCACTTAAAAACTAAAATAAATAAAGAGAGAGAGAGAGAGAGAGAGAGAGAGAGAGAGAGAGAGTGAGAGAGAGAGAGAGAGAGAGAGAGAGAGAGAGAGAGAGAAAAGAAATATGAAAATGAACTTCACTTTAGTTTAATTGCAACAATTAAGATTAATGCTTTTTTTCTTATGTTGAAACATGTGCGTGTTTTATCAATTTACGTATGAGTTCTAATAAAGTCAATGAAAAAACACCGTTATCTTGAGAATTTTTCTGAATTCTGTTTTTTCAAAAAAAAGAACCAAAAGAAATTTCGAAACATAAAAGTTTTCGGGAAAAAAAGATGATGTAAAATTCTTTTTGCTGGTCAACACATTTAGCTTTTTTTTGGGTTGTTTGATAATCTGTTTTTAATGTTGACAATTAATTTTCTTTGTTTTTTTTTCACTTGGTTGTTCTGGTAATTTTGTTGTTGCCGCCATACACATATAGTTGTTTGGTTTGGTTTGTTTTAAATGGAATTTTTTTTTGTCCAGAAATTCTGTAGCCGCTTGATGATAATGATGATGATTGTTTTTTGTTCTGTTTGTTTTCATTTATATAAAGATAAATAAAATAAATAAATATAATTCTGACATACGTATAAAATGAATGAATGAATGAATGAATGAATAAAATTTATTCCATCAACAATCATGGACAGCAAACAAACAAACAAACAGAAAAAAATGATGATAACTTATGATGATCAAGACAAGAATGACATTGAAATGTTTTGTTTCACTTAAATTATTTGTTTTGTTTTATTTTTCATTGAATGAAATATGATGATGTTGTTGATGATGATTCTGACGATAGTGATGATGACGATGATGATGGTAGAATCGAAATAGTAAGATGGAATTTTATTTCATTTCTTTTCTGTTTTTTTTTTGTCAACAAGATTTCTATTTTTACCAACACACACAGAATAATCAGAAAATATATTAACCGATGAACCGAAGAAAACGGACATTAAACAACAACAAAAACTAGATTGACAATCTTAAAAATGATGATGATGATGATGATGACAAGATATATTATGTAATATATTAGATGGATTTGTTGAAAAAAGATTGAAAAAGCGGGAAGAAAGTAATTGATCAACTGAGTAGTCGATGATGATGATGATGATGATTGTTTTGATTTTGCCAATGAGAAACAAATGAAATGGAACAAACAAACAAACAAAAGTATTAAATAACAGAGACATGAGAGAGAAGGAACATTTCTTTGCTTTCAAATTTCTATTTTGGATCAGAAATTTTTCTTTTCTTTTTTCTTTTTTGTTTGTTTCTGGTTGTTGTTTTTGGTTTATTATTTTGTTCATCATTCATCCGAAATAGTAACATGAAACATTAACACAATGTGATTCAGTGAGGAATAGAGGATGGAATAACAACAACTAATTTTTTTCCTGTTTTCATTGTTGTTGTTGTTGTTGTTGTTGTTGGATCGATGTAATGAGAAAATAATTTTCAAATTTCTCAAGAATTCTAATTAATTTTTCCAATAGATTTTGTTGTTGATTGCAAACAATTTTAACACATAGAGAAAACAAAAGGAAACCATAGTAAAAAGCTCAAAATAAAACGGAAATCAATGTGGGTATGGCGGTATCTCGATTGTCTTTTTTGTTGTTGTTGTTGTTGTTGAATGAATCCAGGTATCCTCGAATCGTTCAAACAAAATGGAAAACTATATATTTTCTTGATGAAATTAATTTGTTCAAAAATGAAAATGATTCTGATGTGAATCCATAAACAGTAAATTTTTTTAAAAAAACTACCACAACAACAAAATTTGAAAACTTGTTTGGTTCTGTTTTTTTTGTTGTTGTTGTTCTGTTTTGGTTGTTAACCTGTCAAAAACACTAAATGTGTGAAACATCACTGAAAAAGATTTCAGAAAAAAAGTTTGTTGGTTCTTGTTGTTTTGGCAATTAAAAAAAATGATATAAGTGAAGAATTCAAATTTTGTTTTTGGTTTTCTGGTTGTCATAAACAAACTAATTTTTTCACACAAACAAAAATTTCAAAAAAAAACATTTGAAGCGAAAATGGATTAAATAATCAAATTTTAAAAGATTATTTCACACAATATTTTAATGTTTTTTTTGTCACTTATCATCATTGCCATCGTGAAAAAAGAATCAATCAAATTTTGCAAAGATCTCGAATGTTGAAATATTGAACCGAATAAAAATCCTTGTGTACGATCCAAAAAAACGACAAATGAAAGAATTCTACCAAATGAATTCATTTTCAAAACTTTTTATATGCGTGATGATGATCAGAATGGATGAATGAATGGATTCTGTGTAATAACAGCATTGGCTTATTGGAACAACGGGAAAAACATCTATATAATAGATTTTTTCGTTTTTCATAAATATCCGTATTTAACGTTAACCGTACACACATGCACACAACACCAAGAAGAACCTAATAACCACATGGTCTGAATCGGATAAATATCTTTTTGGAAGAAAAAAAATGATGTAAAGATAATCGATTCAGACAGGATTCTCTTCGTTTTCGGTTGTTGTTGCTGTATATAATATATCAATATGATCCATTTTTTTCCTCTTTTCTTGGGATATCACGTCATCATTATCGATCTCGATATGATTTCAAACAGAATATTTGTTGTTCCGACATTGCTATTGGAATATTTTGCATAGTTTTATCGATCTCATATAGATAACTATAAATGATTATCTAAATGTTATTGATTATCATCATAATAATCTCATATTGTTTTAATTATAAAACCTTAGGAAATCAATAAAATAAATAAGTAAAAAAATTATGAATAAATCGATTTATTTAGTGTGTGCGTGTGTGTGGAAAACAAATTCTCTTGATTATTGGATTTTGTTTCTTTTTTCTCTTGTTTAAATCCACACAGACATTTTTTTTATTGTAGAATCAATATGATAAATATGAATATGAATAAGGATAAATGAATGAATTGTGAATCACATAAAAAAAGAAATTTCTCGATTATCAAACAAATATTACTTTTTTTCAAAAAAAAAAACAAAAACAAATGAAATAAAATATTCTCTCGGTTCTGTTGATTATGTATGTGTGTGTGTGTGGTGTAATGTCTTGTGATTGCAAATTTACATTTTGAAAATATTATTTTTTTTTTGTTCATTTTCAACATTAATTACAACTTTTTTTGTATCTAATTTTTATTTGCAGCTTTTCGATTGAGAAATAATTGCCATAATGAAAAGGCAAATGATCCAAGATAGATTATACCGGCTACATAACATGTTTTTGCCGCTTCATCATAACGTTCACTAGCTTTATGTAAAAATTCATCAGTTGTATTGAATTCAATATCTTCAACAAGATCTTCGGCAAATGTTAATGAATGTTTTGATAATAAAACGCCCATTATTGGTAACATGATAAAACCCCAAACAGATATCAATGTACAACAAAGCGAAAAATTTGGTCCACAAACACGTAATGATACCATGATGAAAAAATAATGACTGATTTGACTTGACCAATTCAAAGATTAATCGATAAAAATAGAATCAATTTCCAAAATATCCTCGACCTAATGAATTGTATGTTAGTAATTAATAACAAAATAATAATAATAATAATTCAAACTCACCTTTTTGTTACAATTGAATAGAAAATTGTTTGTAATGAAAATTTTTATCAAAAATTTCTAATGCGAACAACAAACAAAAAAATATCAAAAATAGAACCAGAAACAACGTCGAGTCAACAACAAATTATAATAACTCACAAATGCAAAAAACGAAAACAATATTTGATCATTTTGGATGAGGCGTTTATACGATCAACAGATGGTATTGAAAAAAATGAATGCATCAACATCATCATTATCATGATAAAGCAAACAACAGATGGCGCTAATTGAATCCGAAAAAAAATTTACCTTTTTTTCAATCATAATTATATAATTCTGATCGAATCATCAACTGATAACATTATCCAATTAGTATTTCGAATAGTTTTGAAAAGAAATTAACTCACTTCGACATGACCATTATCAGTGAATAAAGATTTAGTTTTGATTTCTCTTTTAAAATTCTAAAACATTGGTGTCTTTGTTGTTGTTGTTGATCTTGAAGAATTGATTTTAATTCAATTATCATCATCAACATCAACATTATCATGGTCATCATGGTTCAACACAGGAAACCAAAAAAAAAAAGAATCATTCATCTTTAGTTGACCACATTTTATTTTGTGCTTTTTATTTGCACTGTCTCTGTTATCGTTGGTTTGTTTGTTTGATAAGATCTGAAATTATTTTTTCTAAATTGAATCTGACAGATTCCTAGAATGATAACTCATTGATTTGGAAACAAAATTTGCTAAAAATCTAATGTTTTTCTTTTCAAACTAAAACAACAACAACAACAACAACAAAATACATTTCTGGATCAAACGAAAATCTTTTTCCTTTTTTTTTATTTTTGTTTTGATGCCTAGAGTTACATTTTATATTTATTTTTGAACATTTGATTGAATAAAATATAAATGATTGGTTCGGAATTCTTACGAAAATCCAAAAAAAATAATTATTTTGTTTTTTTCATGGTACTAAAAAAACTAATTCATTTCCGGCCACTATTTTGATATCGATAATGATGGAAAATGAGTGGGAAAAGAATTTGAATTATTATCCAATTGGATAATGTATACCATTCATGACTAATGATGAATTGAGAAAAAAAAACGGGAAATTTGACATAAAATGAAGCCAAGAAAATGAAAATAAAAACAAATTCCATTCACAAAATCCATTTGGATTCAATAAAATAATATTCCATTTTACCGATATTCTGTTTATTCATTCAACATACATGATATAACAACAGCCTGGCAGCTATCAATATAAATGTTCACACATGTTTGCTTGTCAGACAAATATGTTGAATGAATTGCATTTTTTTTCATTAATATCATTGACAAAAATGAGTACATTTTCATGGATCTATTGAATCAATTAATTTAATAAATTCTATTGGATAGAATGATCTGGAACCATGGAATCATGGAACCAATAATGACATTTGAAAGTGTTAAATAGTGATGAAAAGGGGAAGGAGGTAACTAGAGAAACAAAAAAAAAAATTTGCATATTAATTGCAATTGGAGTGTTTTTGTTTTATCTTTTCCTATTATAATGATGGTCACGATTTATTGATGGACATTCACATAATCGATTGATTGTGTTTTTTGTTTTTTCATTTTTTCAATTTTAATTGAATTAATAATTTTTTCTGTTAACGATTATTTCAATAATAAAAATCCATTTTGGATTTTAGCAACAACTACTGGCTATTTATGGCACTTGAAATTCAAATTTATACTCATTTTTCAATTTAGTCTGATGGATGATCAAAACCAATGAAATAGTTGTCAAAATTAATGATTGATGATAGTGAAAAAAAGAAGAAGAAGAAATAGTATATACATAGTGTCAGATACTGAAACTCTTGACCTTTGATGAACAAAATCCAAGTGTTATCGATTTCCATTTTTATTATTATTATTATGAAAAAGATAATATCATTGATTGTAATGCGATTATTATTTGTGGTTTTTAAATAATTTATTTTTTCTAATTCTATTGTTTTCTCTTACAACATGCTTGCATCGTATTATTAGATTGAATTCCAGGATTTTTTTTGCCATCATCCGGTTAAAAGAATGAATCATTTTTCTCAAAGAAAGAATATACACAAAGAATTAATAATGGCAAATCTAATTTTTGATATTCGAACAATGTTTTCAGAATTTATTATTTTTGAATTGTTTAATTTCAAATTTTCAATGTTTTGGATCAAAAATATTATCACCATACGATTTATATTTATGTTCAAATATTCTAGTTAGCCATTTGATCATATCAATCATTTGATTATTGCTTTGATTAAGAACGAAAAAAAATTTGTTCAGTATTTTTAGCATCAACAATCTATCAAATTATCCCATTCAAAATTTTTAAAGGCGAAATATTATCCATAGTAGTAGTAGGAAAAACCAAAAAATACAAATGAAAATTGATCAATCAATCAATCATAATGATGAAGGATGATGATGATGATTGTATTTACATTTTCGGATTAATTCAACGATTACAACAAATCAATTTACATTTGACCCATTTATATATATACGAATTCCAGTTGTTCTGTTTTTTCAATCAAAAGTAAAAAAAAAGATATTATTATTGAATTGTAAACTTTCAAAATTTTACACGAGAATTTTTTTTAATCTTTTTAATTTTATCGATCTTTATTGATGATTTTTGATCGATTGAATTTTTTTTTACTTTACTTTACTCTTTGTATTTCGATCAATATTTTGAATCCTGAAAGCTTGGTAGCAAAAAATGCAAAATTCACTGGTTTGATGTACACTGTTGTTCGGTTGTCGATCGAATCGATTCTTTACTTTCTTTATTTTATTTTTTTTTTTTTTTTCAAATCAATCGATCGATTTTTACCATCATTAAATCTACAATTTTCCATTTTTTCCATTATTTTTTTTGATTNAAAAAAAAGATATTATTATTGAATTGTAAACTTTCAAAATTTTACACGAGAATTTTTTTTAATCTTTTTAATTTTATCGATCTTTATTGATGATTTTTGATCGATTGAATTTTTTTTTTACTTTACTTTACTCTTTGTATTTCGATCAATATTTTGAATCCTGAAAGCTTGGTAGCAAAAAATGCAAAATTCCCTGGTTTGATGTACACTGTTGTTCGGTTGTCGATCGAATCGATTCTTTTCTTTCTTTATTTTATTTTTTTTTTTTTGTTCAAATCAATCGATCGATTTTTACCATCATTAAATCTACAATATTCCATTTTTTTCCATGATTTATTATGATTTATGATTTTCAACAAAATTCAAACATCAAAACAGAAAGTATTCAGAAAAATATTTGAAACAAAATTTCTTCATTATAATCGATATGTGTGGGCGGATGTGGATGATGATAAAAGAAAAAAATTTTCGAAACAAAAAAACCAAACCAAATAAATTAGAAAATTAGCATCCGGAATAAAAAAAACAGAACAATAAAAGTGAAAATTCTGAAAATTTTATCATTTTTTTTTTCTTAGATTCATTTCATTTCATTAATTTAATGTTTTTTTTTCATTGAATCAACTTTGGATAAAAGATCAAAACAAAACAAAACAAAAAAAAAACATTATCATTATGCTAATTTGATGAATGAAATCAAAGTGTTACACAGAATAATTTATAACGATGTTAAATGGGAAGACATTCATTTATCTATGGCAAATGAAAAACAACAACAAAGAATTTGAGTAGATTTATAAATGAATGAATTTCGAAAAAAAATGATATAAATTTCATATTGTTCATGATAAAACTTGAGAATTTTGAACTTGTCAATTCAAAACAACAACCAAAAAAAAACCTAATTTTATAAATGTGAATTTTTTTTCATTTTTTAAAATAAACATTAGCAGAATAAAAAACACTTGGAAAATTACCGTAAACATTGAATTTCATTTCTTAATGAAAATCATCATCATTATACAGAATTCTGACGAAATAAACAATGAAAATTTTTCTTCTACATTAGCATCATCATTAAGACTAACACAATAAGAATAATCCAAATGAAAATGTTGATATCAAGATAAGTTATATCTCGGTCATTTTGTTTACTCTTTTTTCTCCATTTTCAACATTTTCAATTTCAATTTCCAAAACAAATGGTTTAGAAACTTTGAACATTAAATTAACAAAAAAAAACTTTAATAACTGCACTCTGGATAACTTATTATGATGAAACATGGGTACACATAAAGATTAGTACGACAGTAATTACCGAACAGAAACAACAACAACAACAAAACTTTTCAAAATACTAAATTCAAAAAAGTCAAGAATAATTTGTTGTTGTTGGTGTTGCTATTATTAGTCATTTGTCAAACAAAAATCAATGTTATTAATCTGAATGAAGAATCGGTCATCGGAAATGATGAAAGTTTTTTAATAAAAAAAAAACATTAGAGATTTTGAAAAATAATGATTTATTCTGTATGTCGATTCTGTAAGATTCATATGTGAAAATTCTTTTTTTTTCATATATCAATAATTTAGGAAAATATTCTAGACATTTTTATGATTATTTTCAATGGAATCATTATCATTTATTTCTGTTGATTAATTATTAATCATTTATATGTGGAAATAGAAAAACTAAAATGTTTTAAAATGTTTCAAATTTCAATTCAACGATTATCGTTTTTCCTCCCTATCTTTCTTTGGTTTAATCACCAGAAAAAATAATGATCGATCAGATAAGGCAGAGATGATTTTCGATATTTTTTTTTTTATTTCAAGTGATAATAAATGATCATTTTTGGTTTATCATTTTTTATTTATCCACTAAAACCTGTCGATGATATAATTTTTTTTTTTTGAAAATCGAAACAATAAGCTAGGCAACAGAAACAAAAAAAACTATTATTAGACAAACAAATGAACTCATTTTCATTAACTATTCCTATTGAATTTTTTTTTGAGATGAAAATTGTTTTTGTTCATTAAGTTTTGAACAGAGAAATCGAATTTGTTTTAGTTTATTTTCTTGTCTATTTTCAATCATATAATGATGATGATGGTCATGATAATCAAATCTACTTGCGAAAAAAAAATTATCCATTGCTCAATGTCATTCCTTGGATTGGTTGGTTGTCTTTGAATTTTTTTGTTTTGTTTTCAATTTTAGCCGAAAAAAAACAAAACATAATTTCAACTGATAACTTCATTATCATTGTTTAGTTTGACATGAAACTCTATTGTCTTCATTGAACGGGATTTTACTGTTCAATAATCAATCAAAAAAACCATGATGATGATGATTAACCATTGAGAATAACGAAAAAAAAAGAAAGAAACCGTTGGTCAAAATAATGATGATGATGTGAATAATTGCCACACGACTTATTCAATTCGTCATTATCATCTTTGGTTTTTTATTTTGACTAAAACAAAATTCCAGTAGGTCATTTCTAAGTTCTTTACCTTCTCATTATCCTCATCATCATCATTAGCATGGACAAAAGTAGAACAAAAAAAGAAAAAAAAATTCAGCCCATAAAGGTGGTAAACACTTTTCAAATCAATTCAATTCAATGAAAATTTCAGTTTCAATAATTTTCCAATACTTTTTTTAGACTAAATTTTGACATTTATCATACAAAAAAAAAACGAAATTGATGTTTAGTTGTTTTTTTTTCAATTCATTTTTCAAAAAGTGATGATGATAACCTGATTTCTTTCTTTTTTGTTGAAATTTCAAACGAAAAACAAAAAAAAAATTGTTTTCCACAGACCAGGTTAATGGACAAAACCAAAATTCCATCATCGATAATTTCTAAAGTGAATGAAAATGGTTCATATGATTTTTATAAATTGTCAATCAATTTGTCAGGCCAAAAATCCTATATGATTTTAAATGTAATTGTAATTATCAAATAGTTTTCGAACATTGCGTTATTTTTATTAATAATTCTTTCATGAAAATATTACTTTTATTACAAAAAAATAAAATTTCCCATCCATATAGCCTTAATATTATAAATATATCGGCAATCATCAAGAAAAGAAAAAAAACATCATTTTAAGAAAAAGTATTTAATCAAACATTTTCATCGATTGTTTTGTTTTTTTCTCGGTTGGTTTTAAAAAAGTTCAAACATACCCAACATTTGAAACAAGCTTACTATCTCTTTCTCTTTTTTTTGGTTTTGTTTTGTTATGTTATTTAGATAATAATTTCTCTATGAAGTAATCTCACTCTTTAGATATTCACTTTTCTCTTACTCTCATTAAAACCATCATCAACAAATTTTTTTTTCTTTGACCATTTTATTATTTACTTTCGTTTCAATGTTTTTTTTTGTCCATTACGCACCATACCATATCGACAAACCAATTTTGTTGTTGTTGTTGCAAACCAAAATGTTTTCGATTTCAATTTCAAGAAAAATTTTGAACATAATTTTTATCAATCATAAAAAATGATGTTTTTAAGTAAAATTTTTGATGAAAAATTCAATAACTTTATTTTTAAAAAAGTGAAATTAAATTCTATCATCATCAACAACAACATTTTTATTTAATTGCCAAATTTCGTAGATCTTTTCACCAGTATTATTATTTTTTCTTTACAGAATAATTGAATCTAATTTGAAACAAACATGAATTTATCATCATTTATTCTTGTATTTACAATAATTATTACGTTTTGTCCACAATTAGATTGTGCACAATTATTATTATTATCAGTAAAAAATTCTTCAAATTCTTTAATGGCCAATAATTATAATAATAATAATGTATTATCATCGATTTTATCTACAAACGATATCGATCATAAAGATCGAAATAAATTGTCAATAAAACGAATTCAACAAAATAATTTAAACGAAATGGTGATGAAAAATGGTTTAAAACGTATGTTTATGGTTTCATTTTCTTTCTAAATTTAATTGGCTAAAATTGAAACTTGAATCGTATATTCTCTGATAAATGTTTTTTTTGTCTGTTCATTAGGAACAACATCAATGATATCATTACCAACACCAGGAAAATGGGAACCAATATGGAATGAATTATTTCCTCGTTCCAAAAGTATTTCATCCGTACGTTTTTATTTATACAGTCGTTTGAATCCAGATATTGGTCAAGAACTTTGTATCAATGATCAATCATCCATACATCAATCAAATTATAATCCAAATAAACGTACAGTATTTCTTATTAATGGTTGGCAAGATAATCGATTATTTGCTAAATGGGTACGAGATGCTATACATTTATTGCTTATACGTGATGATCAAAATGTTATATTTGTTGGTTGGCGAAGTATAAATGAATTATTTGTTGCTGCTATGATTATACAAAGTTATTCATTATATTTATCAAGATTTATCAATTTTCTTAAGGTATTCAATCTTTTTATTTGTTAAAAGAAAATAATGTAAAAATTCTTTTTTGCTTTCAAATTCTTTTTTATATAATTTACAAAAATGATAGTCAAAATATCATTTGAATGGTGAACAGATTCATTGTATTGGACATAGTTTAGGCGGTTTTATGTGTGGATTTGCTGGCGATCTCACCTATATTGGCCGTGTTACAGTAATGGATGCTGGTCCACGGCCATATTTTCAGCGACGACCACCACAACAACGTTTAAATCGTTTTCAAGCAGGATTTATGGATGTTATACATTCAGATTTTCATCCAACATTTTCATTAGGATTAACCATACCATATGGTGATATTGATTTTTTTCCAAATTCCGGTACAGTTCAACCGGGCTGTTGGCAAGATAAATTTTCTAAACCACTTGAAGAATTAACAAATGGTGATGGACCATTAACAAGTTTACTACAATTTCCACGTTATCTATTATTCTGTTCACATTATCGTTCACATGAATGGTTTTTTGAATCATTATGGAATCAACAATGTCAATTTATTGGTGTATTATGTCCAAATTATCAGATGTTTATTAATGGTGAATGTGGATGTGAAGATTTATTGGTAAATGGTCATGGTGAAACAACATGTGCATTGATGGGTTATGATGCTGAATATGCTATATTAAAGCAAGGTTTGACAAAATTTTCACCACAAGGTAAATGGTATCTAAAAACATCGGATTTTTATTCACAAACTAAACGTCATTGTCAATATCAATATCAATTGATAGTAAAATTAGGACAATTTATACCTCATAATATTGGTAATGTAACTGTTTCCGTAACGATTGTTACAAAAAATGATCAAAATAATAAATTATCTAATCAAATTATATTGAATGAAAAACTTTATCCAAAACATTATCCACAATTACGACCAAATCATCGTCTTAGTAAATTAATTTTACAACCAAATTCATTATCATTTAAACGAATAGCATATATTTTAGTTACATTACAACCATCATTAAATGATAATAATGAAATTATTAGATTAAAATCAACAGAATTATTTATTACAATATCATGGATAAAATTAGCACCTATACATGTTGTACATAATGAACCATTATTTTTTTGTCATATTGATCATTATGTATGGCCGGGTAAAAGTAACATGATGAAACGTTGTATAACACATTGATATTTTTTTTTCTTCATTTTGATTTATTTAAAAATTTCTTTACACTTTTTTTTTAATTTAATTTATTTTTATTATTTGTAAATATATTTCATTTTTCTTTTTTTTTTTGAATAAATTCAATCAAATAAAAAAAAATTGATTTAAATTTTTATTTTTATTCATTCATTTTGTTTCTTGGCTTGATCATTTTGTTTCGAAGAAGATTTGATCATTGGCATCCGTTCACCGCCATCAATTTGTTTTTGTTGTCGTCGTTGATTCATTTCATCACATTTTTCACGTAATTCACGACGAAATGGACTTGATTTAAATGGCTGTTTCAATACTTTAGTAGCGTTAATTGTTTTTTCACTTAGAATAGCTAAACCTTCTTCATTGTTGATATAAAAACATAAATTAGGTTTTGTTAATCAAATTAAAGCAAACATTCAACTTACTTGTCATCATCTGACCCATTATTTACAAATATTCACTTGTGATTATTACGCAATTTGATTTCAAAAAGAAAAATTACGCATGAATATCAACCGAAAATTTTCCTTTACGCAAGCAAACGCTTATTTGGAACCAATTTTTATTTAAAAATCACAGGAAATTTAATCATTATAACAAAAACTTTTAATTTTTTTCTAAATTAAATTTCAATTGTATTAATTTTATTATATAAAATTCAATAATTTATTCAATAAGAAGCCATTTTCTCCCGGAAGAATAATATTTTTATTCAATTCTAAATATTGAAAAAATTCGGAAATTGACTTTAAAAACTGTAATGAATTTATTGGATTGTTTGGTACGAATAATTCACCCTATCACATGTTTGATCTTTGAAAAGGGAGTTAACCTTTACCCGAATAGTATTCAGTAATGAATACTATTCGAAATCAAAGATGGTTGATGTATTTTGGCAATCGGTATCGGCTGATTTGCAATCAAAATACATTTAGAATCGTTATCAAGAGATTCTGAACTCATAATTTTTGCAACAAGTGGAGTATAGCTGCTTCGATTTCGAAGAATTAAGCGCTCCACAAATTTAATTAAAAAACGAAAACTTTCAATTTTATTAGGCTTTTTTAAAACGTTTCAATTTGGCCGGTTCTTTATAAACATTCAATGGTAAACGAAAACAGGCAACTTTTTGTGTCAATCCGGTTAACGATCGTGAATTTTCAATATGACAACCAATCAATTCAAAAATTCTACGTAAATGTGACATTTTAACTGAACAATATTTTTGTATCTTATCCAAATCGATTGGTCGATATTTGTTTAAAATAATGATCAATATGAATACATGGATTAGAATACGATCTTTGTTTTGATCAGTCAATACATATTGCTGTTGTCTACTTGAAACATTTTTTGTCGATGTATAACGATCAAATACATATTTTTTAATATCACCAACAATCAATGGTAATGGATCGGCTTTACGCATCTGAAATGCGGATAATGAAAGTAATTGCAACAATACATCAGCATAGATGGCCATCACACGATATTTTTGATCATTATTTTTTGCGCACAATTCTTTTAGATAATCATTTTTGATTTTTTCCAATAATTCACGTTCATATTCAATTATTGCTTGTTCTTCTGATTCTAAAATTATATCATTTAATTTATAAACTTCAGATACGTCTTTAGCCGTTTCATTTCTTTCCGGCATGATTGTCGACTTTGCCGATTGTGTTGAATCGTTGTTGATTTGATTTTGGTCAGTTTTTTCATCATTATTTTCGGAGAAAATATTGTTATTTAAAGTTGGCAAATTTTCTGCATCACCTTCACCAAAATGAATTTCATATTTTCGTTTACTCGCTAAGAAAAACATTTTAAAAACAAAATTAATATCCAATTCGCTGATGGAAAAAAAGTGAACCCACCTAAATCTCTTTGTGTTTTTTTCGAACCAAATTTTCCTTTCAATTCATCCATTTGTTCACGTTTAGTGAGACGTATACTTTCATCTGCATTTTCAGCATCAAGTAAATTTACATAATTCGGTAACATTCTATATAGTTTAGCTGGTTTACAAACTAAACGTCCAGAATTATTAGGATCAATAGTGGCAGCAAAATAATTAAAATCATCATTAGTATTATCATTGAATGATTCAAATAAAATTGTATCTTTGGCCAATAATTTTGTACGATTTTGAAATTTTTCAAATTTAAATTCAGGATTAGGTGGTGGCTGCGATGCAGGCCAATAAACAAAATTTTCACAATTTTCCGGTTTAGATGTATCGATTGCGGTAATAAAATTTAATTTAACTTTATTTAAAGTATCCATATTTTTTTTCTTTATTGATCCAGAAAAATTTTTAGCCACGAGAATTTCAGAATTGAAAATAATAAACACGCGGCCAGTGACATTCATAGAATACGGATTCGAACAAATGTATACGGAAAATAAGAAATGAGTTTATCCATTCAATCGTTGATATGATCGAAAAAATGCGCGCAAAATTACAAGTATCGCTTACATTCGTTTGTTGAATTCATTTTAGATTCGAAAAAATGCCCGATCAAAATATGGATTTATCTTGCCATATTAGCTCCTATTATACCCATCTTTTTCCTTATAGCCTATTCTATCAATGGTTATCATATTCAAATGGTAAAAAAATGTTCAATTTTTTTTTTAAATTTTAAACATTTTTTTCTTTTTCACAAAATAGTCGAACCAGATTATTTCGCTCGTAGAGAATTTTCATTCACCCTTAATGGTGATATTTATCTTCGATTTAATTCATTCGAATCATTAGCTGAAATGCGTAAATGTATACTGTCTCGACAACCTATTAAAATCGATATTGGAGCTGTCTATAATATGCGACCTTGTGAATCTCGTAAAATCAAATTGATGTCATTTCAACCACAATCTCGAGAATTAGTATTCGATATCGATATGACCGACTATGATGATGTACGTACATGTTGTAAAGGTGCAGAAATCTGTGAAAAATGTTGGATGTTCATGGTGATTGCCGCTCGTATTCTTGAAGCATATCTACGTGAAGATTTTGGCTTCAAAAATATTCTTTGGGTTTATTCCGGTCGTCGTGGTATTCATTGTTGGGTAGCTGATGAACGTGCTCGACGTTTAGGATCGGATGGTCGTGATGCAATCGCAAATTTCATAAACATTTTTGATGGTGGTCAATTCAAAGCGAAAAAAGTGGAAATCGATGGACTAAAAGGTTGTCATCCATCATTAATTCGTTCGATTCGAATTATCGATGAATATTTTGAAGAATTAATGATAAATAGACAGGATTTTCTTGCGACTAAAGAACAGATTAAGATGATAGCAAATCTTTGTCTCGATAAACCATTACGTGAAGAAATTTTAGAAACATTATTGAATCCGAATGAAACGAAATTGAAAACTTCTTTAGATCGATGGAGAATGATTTGTTCCTTGTCAATAAAATTCTATTCATCAAAGGGTCCTAATCAATTACTTAATCGTAATCAACATCGACATAAATATTTTCTGGAAGAAATCAAACTTCAACTTTGTTATCCACGTTTAGATATCAATGTGACACGTGGTCTTAATCATTTACTTAAAGTTCCATTCTCAGTGCATCCTAAAACCGGACGTATATGTGTTCCAATTGATTTTGAAAAATTGGATCAATTTGATCCATTCAAAGTACCAACCCTTCTGACTTTGATTAAAGAAATGGATGAAATTTCAACACCACAAGAATCAGAAAAATTAACGGATGGAACAATTAGCCTAGCATATCAAACATCATTAGCATCATCATTGAATTTGTTTCGAAAATTTATCCAAAATATCGAACGTAATTTGCGGCCGATAAAATTAGCCGAACAAGATGATCGGTCCACAATTGATTTTTAAATTAATTAAATTTTAAAAAAACAAATTAATAAAATTGAAAAAAACAGCCAATAATATTTTTAAGAAAATCCAATTTTTCTAAAAATTTTGCCATAAAATAACTGCATTGGTTGCCGATGTGGAAGGTGGATAATTGCATTGTTGTTGTTGTTCATCACCAACAACATAAAGCAAGATTTACTTCAATAGAATCCATTTTTATTTCATTATATTTCTAATGAATATTTTGACTATTTTTCCGAATTATAACAATGTTTCAAATCCTGAAAACAAAAAAAAACATTTATAAAATGAAATTAGCCAAATTTTTTGATAAACCAGAAAAAATATCCGAGAAAATATTCTCTAAATATCGGCCGTTAAAATCAATGAGATATTTACGGGAAATTTTCCTTACGAGCAGACAATCTCGATTTGTGGATATATGAATGACAATTATTGACTCGTCGATCAAGTTGTTTTGTGTGAGAAAATTATGATAATAATAAGTGTTTGTTAAAAGAGAAACTCGATCGTGGCAAATTGCAATTGGAACAAATATATATATTTTTTAAATTGTCTCTTTTAAGCCAATATTTAATTGAAACATAATTTATTTTCATATATCTCTGAATCGAAATCCAATCAATATCTCAATGTTATTTCATCGTTGTTAACCAAAAACGTTTTTAACGATCAATGTTGTCAATAAAGTTATTTGTAAATCAAATGATTGATTGATTTTTTTTATAAATTATGTCCATTATTATCTAAAAATTTCGACAAGTTTACTCATATATTGGTTTCCATTTCATAAATTTATTCTTCGCTCAATCTCTTGTGATCGTTTATTGTTTGCTTTTGCAAAAAAAATGCAACCATTTGATTTTATTCTAACAAAATCAAACAGAAGCTTAAAAAACAAGCTAATTTGAATTTCAAATGGATCAATGGACATGGTTTGTCTCTTATGATCAAGGTAATCGATTCGAATCATATCAACAAAAACAATAGCAAAATGTTTCATTCATCTTATCCTTTACAATCAAATTTAACATCGCCGTCTACAATTGTTTCATCAGCTACAACAACAACGACGACAACCACAACAATCAATACGTTGTCCCCGTTAACCACTGGTATTAATCATTCATTACAATCTTCATCAACATGTTCTACATTTACGACATCAACAATATCAACCATTTCTTCCATTAGCAATAATGGACATCAATCATTGTCTTATAGTCCATCATCGTCTTCATCATTATATCGAAATAATAATAAACAACATTCACAAACGCCACTATCAATATCCACTGATTCACATCATCAACATACTTTGATACCAATCACAACACAAACATCGTTGTTGTCATCATCATCCTCATCTACTACGACATCAGCAGCCATATCTCAACAACAGGCTCCAATGTCATCGATTCTGGAAAATCATCATGATGGGCAACAGGTGGTGATATCATCTCATCCTAACTCTTCTACACCATTTTCGATCAGTTCAATGATCAATATGAACAATCCAACATCATCATTAATGATGGATTATTCATCATCATCGAATGGTTTGAATATTTATCATCACAATCATAATCATGCACAGCAAAACAATGTTTCTAAAGTAAAATTAGCTTCACCATTGCAGCCATCAACATCAACGACAACATTATTGATACATTCCCCTGCACAATCATCTTGTCCGTCATTAGATGTATATCATCTAGGAACAACAGTTCCGGCTACAACGGCCACGTCAATCATGGTGATAAAGGACATATTTCAAGCATGTAGAATTGGTGATCTAAATCGATTGAAAAAATTGATAAATTTGAATAATGTTAATGTTCGTGATCCATCGGGTGGTGGACGATCAACGGTTAGTTGTTAATTAATTTTGTTCTTTCAATTGATAAATTGTATTATTTTTTTTTTAAATAGCCGCTACATTTTGCATCTGGTTTTGGCCGTTTGGATGTTGTTGATTTTCTCATACAACAAGGCGCAAATATTCATGCCAAAGATGATGGTGGCCTAGGTATAATCGATTCGTTTTTTTTAATGAATTTCTAATAAATTTTCCAATTTATAGTACCTTTACACAATGCCTGTAGTTTTGGCCATATTGAAGTGGTTAAATTATTATTGAAAAATGGAGCTGATCCGAATGTCAAAGATAATTGGCATTTCACACCATTGATGGAAGCTGCCATCAAAGGTAAACTCGAAGTTTGTCTTTATCTATTACAAAAAGGAGCCGATGCCCGTTTAACGAATTCAGAGGGGAAAAATGCGTTGGAATTAGCCTCACCATTAGTCAAACCCGTATTAACAGGTGATTTTCGTAAACATGAACTTCTTGAAGCTGCCCGTAATGGTTATGAAGAAAAAGTATTATCATTATTGACACCTTTAAATGTTAATTGTCATGCATCTGATGGACGACGTTCAACACCGCTTCATTTGGCTGCCGGATATAACCGTCTAAAAATTGTTCAAATTTTACTTAAAAGTGGTGGTAATGTTCATGCTAAAGATAAAGGTGGTCTAGTACCGTTACATAATGCTTGTAGTTATGGACATTTTGAAGTCTGTGAACTACTAATCAAGCATGGTGCAGAAGTGAATGCATCGGATCATTGGCAATTTACACCGTTACATGAAGCTGCCGCCAAAATGCGAATTGAAGTTTGTTCTTTATTGTTAGCCCATGGTGCCGATCCTACATTGGTCAATTGTCATAATAAATCTGTGTTGGACATTTGTCCTACACCAGATCTTCAGGACCATATTATGAAAGAATATCGAGGTCATCAATTTTTGGATGCAATTATAAGTGCTACTGATATTTCAAAATTGAAAAAATTTATCAATGCTGAAACTATTCAATTTAAACATCCTTTCACTGGCAATACAGCATTACATATAGCCGTATCGCTCAATTGTTCAATCACTAATCCACAAATGACACCAAAACTTCGCAAACAAATTATCGATCTACTCATACGTAAATCACCCGGAATGGTTAATGAAAAAAATGGACAATTTTTAACTCCATTGCATTTGGCTTCAGATCGTGGCCATACTGATCTAATGGAAGTGTTATTGAAACATGGTGCCAAAATTAATGCTGTCGATTCATTAGGACAAACAGCTTTACATCGTGCTTCGCGAAATGGACAGCTTAGTTCGGTACAGACATTACTATCATATGGAGCTGATTTAATGTTGGTCAATATACATGGTTTAACTGCTGAACAAATGGCCGCTACTGAACAGGTACAGAAATTGATCGCTTCACATAGGTTGACATCTCGTGGCAACCCTGAACATCAACTACTTGAAGCAGCGCGACAAGGAGAATTAGATTTAGTACGAACAATACTTTCAAAATATCCGCATCTGGTTAATTGTCGTGATATTGATGGTCGACAATCAACTCCGTTACATTTTGCTGCAGGTTATAATCGAATTGATGTTGTTGAATATCTTCTTGAACATGGTGCAAATGTTCGAGCCAAAGATAAAGGTGGTCTTGTACCATTGCATAATGCATGTAGTTATGGACACTTTGAAGTTGCTGAATTATTACTGAAAAAAGGTGCCAATGTTAATGCTACCGATTTATGGAAATATACAGCCCTACATGAAGCTGCATCGAAAGGAAAGATTGACATTGTCAAATTATTATTGAGACATGGCGCCGATGTAACAAAGAAAAATCGTGATGGCGACACTCCATTAGATTTAGTCAAGCCGGATGATGTAGAAATTTCCGATCTCTTATTAGGCAATGTTGCCATTTTAGATGCAGCTAAAAAAGGTGAATTAGGACGATTGATGCGATTAGTTTCGGCTGAAAATGTAAACTGTCGTGATAGTCAAGGTAGAAATTCAACACCATTACATTTAGCCGCTGGTTATAATAATTTTGAAGTCACCGAATTTCTATTGGATAAAGGTGCCGATGTGAATGCGCCTGATAAAGGTGGATTAATTCCATTACATAATGCAGCAAGCTATGGTCATTTAGATATCGCTGCTTTATTGATCAAACATGATACTAACGTTAATGCTACTGATAGATGGGGATTTACACCATTACATGAAGCAGCACAAAAAGGTCGTACGCAACTTTGTGCACTTTTATTGGCTCACGGTGCTGATCCTACGATGAAGAATTATGAGGGTCAAACAGCGTTAGATCTAGCATCGGCAGAAGATGTCAAATGTTTATTAATGGATGCTCAACTCGAACCACCAATGTATTCAACATCATCGGGAATTGCTACAGCCACTTCTTCTAGTAATACAATAACTTCGACAACGAATCAAATTTCAACGACATCTCAACCATCATCTGAGCAACAGATAACAACAGGAACAATCATAAGTACTACCGATCAGAACCAATCCATTGCGAATCATCAATCACAAACAGAATCTTCTTCGTCGACAATTCAGCAACCAGATTTAATGCAACAATTAATTCGACAGATTATGATAATTGTTGGCAATAATCCAAATGTGATCAATTCTTCTGGTGATACTGTGACCAGTACTATTAACGACCCCCTTTCTTCGCTATCTATTCAATCAAACGAATCATTTATAGATGGGTCATTACAATTATTACAGTCTTCAATATCAGCTGAATCATCATCAAAACAAACAATTCAATTGAATAATGAATCCGTCCCATCATCACTTGCGTTGCTTCTTTCGCAACGAAATGCCGATAATGTGAATGGAAATCGATGTCCTGAAAATGTTCTTGCAAACAATAATACTGATAATGATAAAACTATTGATTATAAATCGATTATCGATGATACTTCTGCCGATAATATATCGAAAATAAATCCACAACCTGGTGATGGTTCATCTGATGTCACTCAAACGATTCAAACAAATTCATCACAATCAATTAACCAACATTCAACTCATCCAACGATTTTAGCTAATAACAGCGATAACGTTTCTGTTTCAAATAATAATGGCAACAATAATAATAAGCTAACAAATTATTTGCCGGTTTCAAACATACCATCTAGTGTAACTGTGCCAATGTTTTTATCAACATTGGGTTTAGATTTTATAACTCCAATATTGATGCGTGAACATATTACGATGGATATTTTAGCTGAAATGGGTCATGAAGAATTGAAAGCAATCGGTGTATCTGCTTATGGCCATCGACATCGTATATTGAAAGGTATCGAAAAATTATTGATTTCATCATCAACATTATACGATACGATCGATGGTTCCGGATTGGTTGTACGTGCCAATAATCAACTAGAACCATTGAAACAAGCATTAAATGGCAATCAATTTTTAGGAACTACCATTACAAATGCTAATGCTATAACTGTGATGACATCAACTGGAGCTGTTGTACCATTACCATCAGCACCATCATTCGCTACTACAAATAATAGTTTTCAATCATTTTTGAGTAGTAAAAGTTCAGGTTCATTATCATTATCTTCCACACCGGGAATATCAATGATTCATACGACAACATTTTTGATTCAATTATCATCGGATGATCGTGAATATCGTGCCGTTGAAGATGAAATGCAATCAACTATTCGAGAACATAAAGATGGTGGTCAAGCTGGGGGTGTATTTACTCGTTATCAAATTATTCGTATACAGAAAATGATCAATCTTAAATTATGGCAACGGTATCTTCATCGTCGTCAAGAAATTCTTGAAGAAAATCACGGATTTGCCAATGAAAGAATGCTGTTCCATGGATCTCCATTCATTAATTCTATAGTACAAAAAGGATTCGATGAACGTCATGCCTACATTGGGGGAATGTTTGGTGCTGGAATTTATTTTGCTGAAAATAGTTCTAAATCTAATCAATATGTTTACGGTATTTGTGGTGGCAGTGGATGCCCAATGCACAAAGATCGTTCCTGTTATCAATGTAAACGGCAGATGCTATTGTGCCGTACAGCATTAGGAAAATCATTTTTTCAATTCAGTGCATTGAAAATGGCACATGCACCGCCTGGACATCATTCAATTATCGGTATGTTTACAATTTCAATTATAAGATTTAAAATTTCAGCTTTTCATTTAAATTTTCATTATCATTAATTTGATGAATATTTTAGGACGTCCAAGTGGTGGTGGTCTATCATTTCCAGAATATGTCATTTATCGTGGCGAACAAGCATATCCAGGTAACAATGATTTGAAGTTTTTCTCAATAATTCTAGTAACTTTTCCCCTTCATATTTGATAGAATACATCATCACTTATCAGATCATAAAACCGGGATCATCTTCAAGCACATCTGACTGAAATTATAATTTGATCAATGACATTGTTCTTCAATAGGTTCTTCAACAAACCTATTTTTAAATGGAATTAAACAGGATTTTATTATGCAAAATTTATTGAATTATTTTATTATTAATCGACATTGTTATAAACAAGCGGATATTTTACTGTCACCAACAGTTCTTTTTCTTTGATCTTTCCTTGACCAGATTTGTTAAATCCAATAAAACGATATAATGGAAGAATTGTGATTATCACCATAAAAAACAACGTTTTTCTGGATTCATTGGCGATCCAATCGAACAATTGAAACTTTCTGCAAATTTATCAAAGTTTTGCAAACATACATTGACACGAGATTCGGGTGGTGAATGTGGATCATCGATGAACCAATCATTTAATTCAGCTTGAGTGATATGCCTGCAATGAATCTATTTCATACGAGAATTGTTTGATCTTAATGAAAAAATATTTTTGATATTTAGGAAAATATGATTTTTACCTGGGCTAATGATAAGAAAAATATTTGTTCAATTGTCATTTTTTTGTCAACTAATCGTGGCAATAATTGTGGTTGTTTTCCACCATTTTGAATACGTTTCAATTCATCTTGATATGCCATATATGCAAGACGTAAACCGCCATTATCAGCAACATCTTCACCTACTGTAGAATTATCTTGCAAGAGACCATATGAATGTTCAGTGTAATTTCTATATTGTTCAATAAAACATTGTGTACTATCTTCGAAATTTTTCAGTGATTTTTTTGTCGAAAATTTTTGTTGTCCATTCTTATCTAATTTAATGTCACTCTCATTAAAACAATGCGTAATTTCATGACCAATTATATAACCCATTTTTGCGTAATTCACATAAAACGGCAGTTCTGCATCAAAAATTGGCAACCTAAGTAATGTTGGTTTAATTTCTAAAGATATTGAGAAAATTTGTTCAATTTTATTTATTTCGAAAATGAATAAGGTATTTACCGATGCTTTTTACAAATTTGTTATACATAGCATTAAACATTAATGGTGAAAAATTAGTAAATCTGAAAAAAATAAACATGTATTAAACCAAGTACAGTTGTTTAAAATCATTCATTCTTACTCTCGAAAACTGAAATCATCATTTTTCATCAATCGAAACATTAGATATTTATAGTAGCTTAACAGTTTAGCATATGATTCGCAAAAATTATCAGCAATAAAATGATTAATCGAACCATGAAGCCCATAAAATTCATCAAGATGCTCTTCAACAATAAACAACTCCGGCAAACCGATAATATCAATGATGTCACGAAGTTTTCCAATAACTCTTTCACGTGTCTCATTATCAAATAATGTATTCTGTTTCATCGATTCAATAGCCGATTGTTTCAACTGGTTGACCATATGAATAGCTTTCAATTTCGAGCCAGGTTTCAAAGAATAATCAACATATAAGCGTGCAATTGCAAAGTTCAATGGAAATTGATCAAAATAGAAAAAATCGAGGCAAATTTCTCGATTTTTAGTATGATCTTCAGTTAACAAATATGTTATTGCTTTTAACCAAAAATAATTAAAAACAATATGTTTGGGAATGTTTTGAATGACTTTGAAAGAATTAACAAGTGGATCACCGGGTTCAACAGAAATTAATTCATCACCACGAAATTGAATAGAATTTTTCACATTCTTTAGGGATTTTCCAGCATTATATGTTATTTGAAAAAAACTTTTCCAATTTAACCCGGTATCCTTCTCAAAATTTGTCAAGTTGTACTTTTTTCCAATAGGTTCAATCATTTCTCTAAAATTTTTTATCTTGTTCTCAAAATCGATGACTTCATCAACAATTTTTTTATATTTTTCTTTACCCATCTTCCCCGTATTGTTTTTCGTCACTAAATTGTACAAAATATGATAATTAGGAGTGTCAATCTCTAAAAAACCAAAATCAATCTGTTGAAGTAAAAAGTTGTAATTATACAGCGTAAATGATGGAGATTTGAAAATAAGAATATAAATGTAAACACACATTGATATAAAAGAAAACATCGAAAATAAAACAAACTCTGAATAATGGTTCATAACCAAATACATTTGAATAGTGTGCATAAAAATCTAGCCAATTAATATTTAACGAGTTGTTATTCGATTCCAATGGCCATGATAATTTTGGTGAAATCGGTAGACTATTCCATAATTTATCGAATAATCGAAAAGCATCATCTGGTTTTGGTCTATGTAAGCATTGTTGATAGATTCGAATCGCCCATTCCACTGCTAACGATTTAGATTTAACTATTTCTCTATTCCTCTCATTTTTTCTTTGATCCCATCCATTCTCTAGGATATATCGGACTTGATCGCGAACTTTTTCTTCCAACTCCTTTGTAAAAATGTCAGGATCGGAATCATTTATATTCCGAATCATTGTTCCACATGCATATTGATAAAAGTTGTCACATGGATCAGCAGAATTATTTATTAATTTAAGTACATTTTCACTATATTTATCACATATATCACTCATGCAAAACATGTCGTTTACTTTTAATGAGGAAAGGAGAATTATTTGGAATCTTAAATTTTGGCATGAAAAAATTCTTACCACTATCATGATCGTAAATATGATACACGATGTTGCTAAACAATAACGTTATCAACAATATTATCGATGAAAAAGATAGAATATGATTGGTTGTTACTTTCATATTTAATAACTTGAAACAAATAATGTTAAAAAAAACTCATGAATAAAAATTTAAACAAATAAATTGAAGCCTAATTTATTTAAAAAATTAATTGAATTATTTTTCAGATTCACATCGTTATAAAAAAACGGCGATTCAGCTGCCACCACGACAAAGTTCTTTTTCTTTGATCGGACTTGATAAATCCAGTGAAACGTTATAACATATTATAAAGTATATATTGTAATAAATACATGTATAATTGCGATCATCACCATAAAAAACAACGTTTTTTCGGATTCATTGGCGATCCAATCGAACAATTG